CAATTCGAAATCCAATGGTATCAGACTGGATGCACCAATAGGTACCTAAGGATCGTTGGACAGGTAAGACATCGTGACGTAGATCGAGGTCCTTCAAGTCCTTGGAACGATCTTCAGCAGGTAAGGCTTCCAGCACAGTCTCACTGTTGCTGGCAAACTTGTGCAGGCGTAGGTTGACTGCTGCGCACATGGCTTGGGTATTCTTGATGACATTGATTGCTTTAGCTGGTGTGGCGAAAGATTTCAACCCGTCATCTACGTAGAAGTCGTTCTTCAAGAAGTCTGCGGCCTCATTGCCAAACTGTTCTCTGCCGGCTTCTGCTGTCATTCTGAGACCGAAATTAGCAACTCCTGGGGAGGAGACTGCCCCGAAAAGGTGGACGTTCATGCTGTACTCTACGATTTGACTCTCTAAGTTGTTATCCTTGAACCACAGGAATCGTAGAAAGTCTCTGTGTTCCGGGCTGACGTGAAAACTATGAAACATCTGTTCAATGTCGCATGTCACTGCTGTCTCTTCCTTTCGAAACCGCGAGAGCACACCAACGAGGGCATTCATCATGTCAGGGCCCTGTAGCAGATGTTTGTTGAGAGACTCGTTGTGGAAGATGGCACTGCAGTCGAAAACGATTCTGATTTGGTCAGGTTTCTTGGGGTGATAAATGTCAAAATGAGGCAAGTACCACACCTTTCCTGTGGCAGTCTTGAGTTGATCTGATGGGACGAGACTGGCGTGGTTCTTGTTAAACATTTTCTGCATGAACTCAGTATATTGCTTCAAAACCTTGCCATTCTTGAGAAGTTTTCTTTTTATGCCTAGTAGCCTGTTTAGGCATTGTTCTCGGTTGTTCGGCAGACTCAACTTGTCTGTCCTCAGTGGTAGCGGCATTTCCCAATTGCCCAGTTCATTTGTATGGATGCTTGTGGTAAGAAGATCATTGAAACGTCTGTCCTCGACAGACTCGGTGTTCTCAGTGCCTCGGATGGTTCGGCTATGATGTAGTTCACTGTAATCCAATTGCATCATTTCTCTTATCTGCTGGGGCGTAGTGACATCCTTAGATTGATGTTTGGAAGCGAAAGAGGCTACGGCCTCTTCTCTGGAACTGTTGCTCGTTGGAACATTGAAGAGGTTGTGAGAATCTTCTCGTCGTACGGTGATGCGGTTAACTGTTGCACAAGCCGTACTGTCTTGTTGGTTGTCTAGACAAACTGGACCGATGATCGTCCAGCCGAACTTGTACTCTTCAGCCCACGGCTCATTGTCTTTGCCGTATATAACGTGTAATGGCTGAAAGGCAGATGGGATGTTACGACCGATTAACAATCCTATCTCTACTCCGGGATGATAGTGGATGTGGTGGGCGATCTCCTTAAGGTGCGGCCAGAGTTGGGCAATGTTAGGCGTGGCGATGTCCTGATGGCTAGCTGGAATTTTCTCTTGTGAGTATGCAAACGGAATCTTAATAGAATTGTGTCGACTGTCTGTGTCCTTGATGTGCAATCCGTTTACTTTCTGAGTACGCACAGTGTTCACGCCCGCAATCGTACTGATATTGAGGTTAACTTCCTGGCCTTTGACCTGCAACTGGTCGAGAAGAGTGTCTGTGATGAAGACATCTGTTGACTGGTCATCCAGAACTGCATAGGTCAGCATCCTTGCTGAAGGGTTGTCTTGATGGAAGACTTCGACGAGAACTATTCTAGCGCATGAACGAGCAGAATGCCCTTGGTTGCAGACTCGTGAGCAAGCAGACCTCGCTTCACTGGCATTAATCACTTTGTGCCTGGATGGGTCATGCAGTACAGTGGCATGTTTCTGTCGACATATCTTGCAATCTAGCCTGTCTTGTTCGCAGTCTCTGGCAACATGTTTGTTGGAATTAACACACTTGAGACAGACTTTGTTTTTCATTAGGAAATCTCTGCGTTCTTCGTATCCTAATTTCTGAAACTGTTCGCAATCGTTCATGCTATGAGACTTCATCTTGTGATAGAAGCAATACGTGTTAGCCGCAGTAGCTTTGGTAGTGTCCGGTTGCTGAGCATGGGTTGAAAGCACATTGGAGATTTCTATTGGTTCTTCGTGATTAGCATTTGTCTCGCCATTGTTACTGGGGGGTGAAGTGGAGGTCAGATTAACAGCTGGAGGACGCAGGCGGGGTTGGCGGTTCAAAGGTTTGAAACGGTCTGTCTGTGGTGTACCACTTGAACCTGAAGCTTGAACAATTTGAGGTATGTTGACACGCTCAGCGTGGTAACGCACTTCTTGAGCGAAGTCTGCAAATGAAGGGAATGCGTCCTTGCCTTCTTTCTTCTGAAGTTTCAGCACTTTATCAGACCATTTGGGCTTGAACCACGATGGCAGCTTTTCGACAAGACTTTGAATCTGTGACGGGTAATTAAGGACTTGGAGACTCAAAATGTGTTCGCTTGCAATCTTCACCTGTTGAAGGAAGTCACTGAATTCTTCTAAGGCTGCTGCATCGTTCGGTCCCACCTTTGGCCAGGTTGTTAATTTCTTCTGAAAACTGGTACTGATTATTGCTGGGTGGCCAAAACGTTCCTTGAGGATTGTGCGGGCTTGTTGATACGCACTTTCAGGGTTCTGCACTAAGTACTGAAGCTGCTCTACCACTTTTTTGGCTTTGCCATCCAAATATTGGTACAAGAAGTGTAATTTCTGTTGGGCTGTCACTGGTGCTGAATCAATCAGACTATCAAAAGAATTCTCCCACAGGAAGAATTTAGTCTTGTCAGTCTCATCACCCTTAAAAACATCTGGTGTGGCTTGAGGGAGGCGTTGTAGCTGACTGATCTTGGCTAGGGTGTCAGTTAGTTGCACTGAATAATCTTGGGGTGCAGGGGAGTAGGCTGTATATGACGATGGTACCAACGCTGGAAAATTTCCGCAAAAACCTCTTGGAGGTGTGAGTCCAATTTGGGACATAGTACACGCAGGCGATGTGTAAACTGGAGGAGCTTGTCCTCTTAAGCTGAAGGTGGTTGCAGTGGTAGAGTGTGAGATTCGATTGGTTGATCCTTGAGGGCCTTGATTCAAAGATACAGATACAACGTCAAGTGGTGTGGACGATGACGTCACTGTCACTTTAGTCACTGGTGTTCTAGTGCCAAAGGGCGTTGTAGCAGGCGCACCCGGTGTAGACGTATGTTCGTCAGCATTATTGCTGGCAATAAAGGTGGAAATTGGATCATAGGTTTCTGTCGGCAGTGCAGGCGACTGCAGACAGTTTTCTTCTTGCATTGCTTTTTGGTAGACTTGCTCTTGTGCAGTGACTTCTCCAAGTTCTTTTTGTATTTTCAACTGTTCCAGTTTCTGTTTTTGTTCGGCAATAACTGCTGAAAACTTCAACGTTTCTTCTAGGGCTGCTCTCTTAGCTCGAAATTCAAGCAGGGTCTCCTTGCAAGAACTTCTACTTGATCCCGACCCTTTCGAGACTCGTGAACGGTGGGACCTTTGAGATGTGATAGAGGCTGCATCATTTTGTAATTTGTCAATTTCTTTCACGGCTGTATCATGAACTGCTTTCCATGTGTCAAGCAGATAAGTTTGTTTACTTGTGGCCTGATGAGTTTCATCCGAATCATCTGATAGCTCTATCCATTGGTCAAAACTTTGTAAGACAATGTCTAACTCCTTGATCAAAGCTGAAATATTTTCTTTAATTTCCTTAGGATCTTTGCCTGAGAGGATTTGCTCTTTAAAAGTGTCTAATTTAGAGCGAAACTGACGGTCGTTATCTATCGCAGCGCTTCTCTTCAAGCCACATTTGTATTCCCGCCCTTTGGCCGTGAGGGTCCTGGGCCTAGTGTTACTCGAATCGACAATAATGTCGGCGTTTGTAATCGATGAAATTTCCTCTATTTTTGGACGTAAAGACACATTATCCGGTAAAATAACAGATGAGCTAACCTCAGTCTTTGTTGAGTCGACGATTTCTTCGTGAGCTGGGCTTGAGGTGTGTTTTTTCGCGCTCTTCTCGATGAGAAATTCCTCTGGTCTCGACACGAAGGTTAGCCCGAGTCCGGTATCCTCGTGTTTATCATCGAATTTTGCTGAATCCATGGTAAAGTTCCTCGGCGTAAATACAATTCGTTAGAGTTCCTCAGATTAAACAGGAGTCTTCAAAGTTCCTTGAGGTAAATACGAGTCTTTGACTGTAGCGACCGCTTTTGGGTGAAGGCGGCGCGAGGGCAACATGCGTTGCAGAAATTCTGAAAGGTTCACTCCACAATGACCAAAACGTCTAACAAGATCCTTAGTTCCGTTTAATGCTGGTTCACAAGATGTTAACGGACCGAAGGGACCGTCAAAGACTGTAATGGCTATTACAACATGCTTCGTGCGAAGCCTAAAGAACTGCGTTGGGCGACGTTGCCAAAACACTCCGCTCCCTAGTCGAGCTTACAAAAACCTGAAAACCCGGATGCGCGTGACCGGGTCACGTGTTAAACAAAACAACTGGGAAGGCGTTACAGTCAAATGTTTTGCACATTGTGAATTCTAAAAATAGACTTGAGTGAATCCACATGACGTTGATCGGAAAAATTAAACACTCGATGTAGCGCATACCTGTAACTTTAACAGTCCTTGCTGGACAAGCAGTTTGTTTACAAAAGCTGTTTTCTTCCCTTCAACTCCTCCATATCACTATGCGAAAGATCAACGGCTATCGAACCACGTTATCGGACAAAGAAGTTAAACTTGACACGTCCGGTTCAAATTCTCCACCCTAGCTAAGCAAAGACTAGTTATCCCCCTCCTTGGGCACAAGTGATAACAGGCGTCATTTTTTTGCGTTTTTCAGGTGAGCAAAGTCAATCTTGAAACGAAACAGGAGCGCCAGACGCGCGACGGGGCTAGATGCTTGTCTGGCGCTCCTCGCTCGCTTCGTGCTTGCCTTTTCTTGCCTAAAAAACGCGAAAATATAACGCCTATTATGCAGGCTAATGCCTAAACTACAATATTAAAACGTAAGATGATAAATTTCTTTCTTTATTTATCCTTTGCAGGTCTTGATAGCTTTTACGTCACCAACGACAACTTCTTTCATTTTGAAAGCACCGTAATGAGAAACCTGTGGGCATTTTTACTCAATTACTGGCTGCCTTGTAACATCGTGTTTTTTGATGGATTTAAGGCCATTAAAGCTATTGTAGGAGTTCATCCTAATGGTATTGTTATGGATAAAGACGAAAGGTTAGTTCGAGTGTCCATAAAGTGTCATGCCAAGCGACCTACGGGGAAAAGAAAAGCTTATTACGATACCTGCCATCTTTGCACACTTTTTAGGATTGATGGGATAAAAGCAATTTCAGGTGGAAATTTTGGGGGGGATACAAGTGATAAGAGTCCCCAATACGAGTAATCGCGGTCGAGGTTGTTTATTCTCTCAAAACGGTGGTGGACAAAACACCGACCCCCAGTGCATGGACTACCCTCGGTTAAAATGGACTACGTACGCCGCTGAAGTTTAGTGATTAGGGGTAGGAAATTGAGACAATCAGGTTCCATTTGGGGTCGTTATATTGGGAAAACTAACCTGAAACTTGATTCCCTCAGTTTTCTAACCCCAAATCACTTAAGTTCAGCGGCGTAGTCCATTTTAGGGTAGTCCGTGGACTGGGGGTCAGGGTTTTTGTCCACCACCTCTCAAAACTTGGCAATGATTTCAGTCCCGCAAAATGTACAGTTCGAGTTCCGACAACTTTACGTCAGTCATTGCTTGCTGTTAGGACATCTACGGTCACTACTCTTTCCAAAAAAAATAATAAAAATTAAGTAGAAATGATCACCTCCACCAATAACTTGCCTTTATCGTTTTTAAGATAAAAAGTTTTCTTTATTTTCTGTTACCTAGAATAAACAAACTCGACCGCTATATCTTGTATCGGCAGAGTTATCTCTTGTTTGCCCCCTGAGAACGTGACATCTATTTTATCCTCTTGTATAATGAGCCTAATGACCTAAACAACGAATCCAAAACATTGTTACTTTTTTGTATTTCTTAAAATTCTTTTAAAACCCCTACTTATGTTAAAATAAATGCTTGTTTGGTTTACTCTCTCGTAGGCTTGTTTTTACACCCGACAACCTTTCTGGAAGTATTGCAATTTTCAGACGTCGTCAAGACAACACATTAGAAAAATGTCAGGTCAGTTCGGTCTTAGATTGAGTGGAATCCGGATCCCGGAAATATATGCCTGTTGAATCCAGAATAAGGGGATTTGTGCTTGTGGAATCTGGAATCCTGGGCTTTGGAATCTGGCATACAGCTCAAGGAATCCGGAATCCCACTAACGATTCTGGTTTCACAACCTCGTTCCCAGGGCTTTTCTCCTCATGTAAAAAAAATGGGCCCCTGGGAACGAGGTTACTGGTTCCGCGGACAAAGAATCCGCAATTTAGTACCTGGAATCCGGACTCCACGGCGTGGAATCCAGAATCCAAGACTGTCTTGGATTCCCTTATATGGGGCGATTGAGTCCTTAATATCTCCAGCACTGAAGCAGAGAAAGGTTGGGAATGGGGTTATTTAGACTGCCTGCAGACCCCTGAAAAGGTCGTCGATTTTTGTTTGAATCCATTTTTACCTTTTCCCATGGTACCTTGCAGTATTCTTATACCTGAATACTCTGTTTTTCTTCAACAGACAATTCCAGTTGGATCATTTATAGATAACATCAACCTTGACCCTGTGACTGGAAATTTTTGGGTTGCGGGAATGCCTCGCTTAATTGACTTTATTGAACACAACCAAAAGAACCTCAGTCTTCCCAGTCCGTCTCAAGTTTTCACTTTGCATCCGGGAAAGCCATCTTCATCCGGGGAAGCTTTTCCTGATTACGAGGTTCGCGAGGTGTACATGAATGATGGCAAGGAAGTGACGGGCTCCTCGTCAGCAATTTTTTACAAAGATCGTTTGCTGATTGGCTCTGTGTTTGGGAATATGGTGTATTGTGAGGTGAAGTTTTATTAAGTGAACTACTGCTAAGTCACCTTGCAACCAAGAAGAATGTAGTCCGACCTGAAACCTTTTTGATGCTAACCTGTTTATGCTGCCTGCGAATATTAGGAACGTTTGGTGTTCTTGCAGTTTAGACCACAGGGAGATCCATTAAAGTGTTCATACCTCGTAAAGAGTTGCGTCTGGTTGTCGGTCTTTGTTCTTTCCTCCCTTTTCGTTTCTATTTGCACACCACCAGTTGTATTGTATAAACGCTTAGAAGTAAAAACTGAATAAAACTAAATAAAGGCAAAAACACCCTTTGAGCCTTGTGACTCAATTGTTGCAGGTTGATTTTGTCTTTTATGCTTTTATTTTTGTCCCGTTTAACCTTCCCTACGTTTCTTCAGTTTTTAAGTTTACTCTATGAAATTGTTCACTTTAGCGTCACTCAGCGTTCAGAGAATGTCTAAGGGCGCTATTTGTCATAACTAGCTGGCCATACCAGTCCAATCTTAAAGAGAATTCCACTATTAATCAGGACTGTCCAGTCAGGTCAGTTGATTGGTAAATAATGGTTTACACGGATGTGATGGGTTAAGTAAAAGACCAATACATGTATTTCACTTCCAAAATGACCGGTCTGGCCGGCCAGTTTTGATTTTCGAGACTCTCTATGGGTATTTCGGACTACAGTCAACTCTCTCCTTCCGGACAGCAGCTGAATCCCAGATAAAAATAAATTGCAGGCGTTTGACTGATATAAACTCCCGCTATCACGGACTCCTGCTAATGAGGGCACTAACTCAAGGTTCCTACAGTATCCACTATAAAGGGAGTTGACTGTAAATCAAAGTCACGACGATCCCTATTGATGAAACGACGATCTAGAGAGTTGAAGCTAAGATTGCTTTGCCTTTCCTAGTTTGACAACGTTAATCGTGCTTCAAGCTGGCAAAGAAATCTGCCGAAAAGTGTGCTGCACGTTGAGACTTTTGCTTTATTATCTCGTTTCCTTCGTCGTCATCGTAGTTGGTCGAGCTCGCTAGTAGCGTGCATTGCCGTCCACGCAAAATAATTCTTGATATTCTGCGATTTCGTTGAAAAAAACGACGATTTTATTGAAAACGGGTGACGAAAACGACGTCCCTAAGTCCCCATCATAAATATGCTCACTTTTGGAAAGCGTTGTTATGGACTTCCTTTCAGGTTAGCTGTTTTCACTGGTGACGGGTCAAAGTCGTAAGAGCGCTTTATATGATCTAGTTAAAATCAAAATCGTAGTCGTAAATGGAGTCACTGATAAGCTCAACGAAATCGAAGACGCAAGAATCAGAACGTTTCCATTTTCTTCCTACTCCTTATGACTCCATTCCATTGCTTCTTATCTGAAGACAAGGTTGTCCGCGGAGTTCGCGTAAGCTGTTTCGCACTGCGTATGCGTTTTGGGTCACGTGGTCCAAGCGATACAACACCAAAATCGATTGACCGAGGCGCCGTATAGGGACTTGTAAGTGGCTTACTTCTTTGGGTTCTGCTTGCAATTCCGACAAACGTAAAGCTGATTTACACTAGTCCGTGAGCGCTTGTCAAAAGCGGAATCGGAGCTTCCGGTGTTCACTCTACACTCTAGGCCTCTCTGATCTCTGATTACGACTTTGAATCTGACTCCATCTGACCAACGTGTATTATTTACAGCCGCAGTCTGAAGTAGGATCTTAGGGGGGAGGAACCCGGTCGTCCGGTCGTCCGGTCGCCCCCTCCCCTCAAGATAGGGAACCCTTAAGTCAGCATTACAGGCGTTTTCTACGGGCGCGCAAATTTTTCTGTCAACGTAAAAGAGTCAGGTTGAAACCACTTTCTCCTGCTCAAAAAAACGCCTATAAGTAATACAGGATAGGATCCATTCAGACCAATGCTTTTTATTCTGAATAAGTCGGTAAGCTGCATCCAAAAGTTGTGCTTAACTTATAAATTAGTCAGTGATATTTGATGACCTGTTCCAGGCGTTCAGTGCAGGGCGAGGGCGAAACATTTACGAGGGAAAAAAGCTAGCCTGTGCAGCCTCCCCTCCCCTTTCCGATTTTTTTTAGGGGAGGGGCGGCTGTACACAGGGTAGAAAAAAGCGAGAGGAGTCCAAGTCTCACTTCGTTTTTTCTCCTCGTTTTCCGTCTTGCGCTCGCCGTGTAAAATTCACTCGCTCCCCATGGTCTGAATGCCTGGAACAGGCTAGATATTTGGTGAATTATATATCCGGAAACTGAGAATTTTACATGTTGACAGAATTGAAGTACTCCTTCATCCAAGGAAACTTGAGACATCAGTTGTTTTGGTTAATCACTGGTTAATGAGTAATGTTCGTCAAGAGAATGGAATGTAGAAGAAACAAAGATTTCGTCGATAAATTCTAATCATTCATCTTTGACGTTTAACCAATCCTTTAGATCAGGCAGGGATCCCGTCACATGGGAACGTGACATTTCATGAACTAACTCATGAGTGTTGTTTTTGTCATTGGCACCCGCTGCAGTATAGCGGGCTCAACTCACCTGGTTTAGACAGTGTTATCTGCTTCACAATTTTTTTAGGGAACTCTGTAGTTATATCTTTTTAGATGGATTTTATGCAAAAATCTGACCTTCTAAAGTGTCTTACAGATCACAACTATTGGATTTCATGTGGTAAGCTTTCTATTACCCTGCGAGCAGAGGCTACAGTTTCGTTGTTTGAGCTAGCGTGCGAAAAGTAGCCACTACTTTTTGCACGACAGCTCACACAGCGAAAATGTAGCCTCTGCTCGCAGGGTACCTTTCTATAAGCTTATTATTCATTAGCCCACAAACAAATTCAGCAGTCTCAGGTGCCCCTACAATTTTCTTAAGAAATAAGTTGAGAGAATTTGTTTACAGGTCAACAAATTTTCCATTAGCTGATCATTTTTTTTAAATTTTCAGGACATTTTTTCTTGATTTATGTAATTATTGTCATTCTTTAGAGAAAATTGATGTTAACCACCCTTGGGGATAAAACGTAAAGACTTTAAAATTGTATATGATTTATGTATTATTCACTAAGTGTGAGGTCAAGATTGCTTTATGATGGCTAATTTCCTTTTTTACTGGGTCTTTAAACATTTCCAATAATCCAGCCAGGGTATTGGTTAACAAGAATTTTTTTACCTGCGCAACCAACTCAGGAAATCCCGAATGGGCAAGAAAGGGCCACCTCGCCACTTGGGTAGCAAGTAAGAACACACTATTCACTTCATCTCACCTGTTCAAGGAAGCAGTCCCAAACAATGTTCGAAAAAAACTTGAATTCCAACGCAAGTCTTCATTTACGTTTTTTAACAAATTTTGTTTAATCGGCAGATGACTTGTCTTGGCCCTTGCTCTTCAGGCAACTTAAGTGAGAATGAAACATTACTAATGCCCAGCCGGGAATGTTACTTTTTCTTGATGTTTTGGATGAGCAGACTGCATTCTTTTCGAGACCTGCTTATAGTAATAAACTGTCAATGCATGATCACTTGTAGGTTTATTGTGCTTTCTATTAGATGTGGGCATGGCTCATGCTTCAGTAATTTGACAGTAAAGAAAAACATTCTAAACCAGGCAACCTAAGAAGAGCTATATTGAGTTGAGTTGAGTTTGAGTTTATTATTTCCCATAATATTATACAGTACATACGGTGTGTTACAATGTAATAAATTTGGGAGGAAGACTAAAGAAACCCTTACGGGCTTTTACAACTTAGTAGTCTCCCTGAAGGTAACAAAAGATCTATTGAAATTCATTGAAATGGTATCAGTGAAATAGATAATTAACGAACAGAGATACAATAATTGATCTTACACATATATTACAAATACTTCACTCTGTACTGAGTACTTATTTACAGTACTATCACTACATGGGATAGGAGAAAGGGTTGAAAGATCTACTTGAATTACTGAAATCGAGTCGGTGAAATAGGTAATTAATAGAGAGATCAATAATTACAATAATAATATAATACATTTATTAAAAATATTTCACTATGAATAGATTTGAGTACTTATTTACTCTACTATAACCACATGGGATAAGAGAAAAAGTTTTAATTTCCTTTTGAATATTTTTATAGATGCCGAGCATTTTATGTTCAGAGGTATTCTATTCCAGATATCAATTATTTTGTTTTTAGTAGAGTATTTTCCATAATTTGTTCTGCTAAAAATCTTATGTAGATGCCCTTTTGCTCTAGTATTATGGCCATGGACTTGTGCATTTCCTATACAGAAGTCGTTGAAATAAGACGGAAGTACTTTACTATTAAGGCTGAAACTGAAAGAGCCAATTAAAAAATCATTTATTTGATAAATGTTTAGAAGACTTAACTTAATAAAGAGCGGAAGAGATGGTGCTGTATACGGCGAAAAGGTTATAATTCTCAATACTTTTTTTTGTAGTTTGAACAATGTATCAAGCCTTGTGGGATAGTTATTTGCCCAAACAATATTCCCATAATGGAGATATGGGTAAATTAGGCTATTATACAACATTTTTAGATGCGTTTGATTGACGTAAAAACGAATCCTACAAAGCAGACCTGTAATTCTTAAAATCTTTTTAGTTATATAGTCAATATGGTTCTTCCATGTTAAGTGTTGATCAATTACAATTCCTAAAAATTTACTATCTTCTACTCTCTGCAATACAGTCCCATTTAATGTGAGACGCAAATCTCTTCTTAATCGTTTTTTGTTGGATTTGAAAATGATGAAATTTGTTTTTTTTATATTGAGAGTCAGTTGATTAAGTGTTAGCCATTCTTGGACTTGAGCTAATTCCGAATTTACTGTAGTTTCAAGTTCATGCATATCTTTCCCTGAACAGAACATATTTGTGTCATCTGCAAATAAGATAGTAGACAATTTAGTGGTTGAGTTAATAAGGTCATTAATATAAATTAAAAATAGTAAGGGCCCAAGAACAGATCCCTGAGGAACCCCACAAGAAATCAATCTTTCAGATGATCTTATTTGATTATAT